GGTGGGTGGGGGAACTCTATAAGGGCCTCGAAGCCAGCAGAGAAGTCCGGCCACGGGGTGAGGAAATAGGCCGCGCCCCCGGACTTTCCTCCCAGCCCTGCCCCGGGGTGGGGATCAGGCCGCGCCGCTGCCTTGGCCGGGAGCCCCGCTGCCCGCCCCGGGCACCGCCCCGAGGGCAGCCCTGAGGGGCCTCCCCGAGGGGCCTCCCCTTGCCCGGCCTCCCTTCCTCCCTCCCTCCCCCCCTGCCCGCCGGGAGGGCAGCGCCGGGGGCCCCTCTGCGCAGGCCGCGCTCCCGCCCTCTTCCCTTCCCTCCCTTCCTCTCCTTTCCCTTCCCTCCCTCCTGCTGCCCCGAGCTGGAGCAGCGGGTGCGAAGGGAGTAGTAACTCAGCGCACGGATGCTGAATCACGAGATGGGTGGTGTGGATGGAAATGAACCCGGCTGCCCTGCAGAGGTGCCTGGTGTTTGGGGCGGGCGTGCTGGGAGAACTTGGCTGGACTTGGGAGAGGTGGCTGAACACGTACAGTCACATCTTGAGAACCCTGCGCCGTGTTCCTCCCCGGTCAGTCAGGTTTCTGTTGATAAAAACGGCCTGGAGTGGGACGCAGGTCCGGCAAGGAAGGGAGGGAAGGAGGAGCTAATGTCGTTTTGATGCAAAAATAAACAACAATCCAGAGCTTTACACTGTTGTTCCTTCCCAAAATGTTTCGTTTGTCTGCTTCAGAAACACCAAATTAAAATGGCAAATACAGCTTTTGCTGTTCCTGGGAACCATTTCATAACGAGAAACCTTTGTTAGTTCATTTCCGAGCTTTATGGGTAAATAAATTAGACTTTTGTGACATTTTTGTATCTATATGTGAAGAAAGTGGTAACGTATTTTTTTCCATTTATATACATGTATACAAACACTACATAAAGCCAGCCCTTTTGCTCACCTTGCAAGGACCACAGCTGGATTGTTGGTGTGACTTTCTTGGCCCTGTTACTGAAAATGTACTAGTTTCTGTGAAATTAAAAAAAATATATCCTGAGCTAAATGTTTGTATTATGAAGTCTGCAAATGACAACATAAGTGTACTGCTCATAAGCTTCAGATATGGAAACTTACTCTGTTTACATGCTCTCTAACACTGGAGAAAGTGCCTTTGAATGTTTTAGCTCAGACAACTTAGCATAATTTAACTGAAAACATTTAATGCTATACAGGCCCAGACTTGGGTGGGGTAGAGATAAAAGCAGGGAGGGAGAGGGAAGTGAAAGGCCACAGCCCCTGCACAGTGGGATCACTGGTGTGGCATTTGCTAGAGGTGCCAGGTTGCCATCTGGTCTGCTAAAAAAAAAAAATGGCCATCTCCTGGAGCACTGACTGTGCATGTGCAGATGTCCTGGGCCTGCGCAGTGGCTTGGGTGAGTCTGGGATGTGTCAGAGCTGCTATGCATGTGCAAATGGATGTGAGCTGAGACACGTGAGCAGGCTGTGGGCTCAGATCATCTGCGAGGTGTATGGGGAATAGCTGTCACATCCCCCTGAAATGCATGCAGTGAAATCACTAGAGTCGCTTGTCCATGCATGGTTCATCTGGTCCTTCCATGTAAATGTTGTTTAATACTTTTAGGTCACCTGTAAGTGGTTGAGCTTTGGGCGTGAAATACATCTATATGTAGCTATCAGAATACAAGGTCTGAGTGGAGGCAGGATGAGGTTAGCTTTGGCGTAGCTAAACATGGACAAGAATGTGTTAAGGGACTTAGGACTATTAGTTACACTACTGTGTCTTACCTCATTATATGTCAGAACAAAGCCAGGCAGGTCTGTTCTGTGAACTGCTGCAGCCACTGGCTTGGCAAGCAAAGGTGTGAAGAGCTTTGCTGGACTGAGAGAGACTTGTGAGCAGGAACCCAAAGCAGAGGTGGGATTGTAGGAAATTGTATTTGCTAGCTTTATTTATCACTCAGTAAAGGTGGGGGACAAGTTAGAAGAAACTGTGTCACCAAACATAAATCCAGTTTAGGAGGGACATTTGAACAATTCTGTCAAGAAAATTTTTACATTTGGATCTGGCCCCCACTAGCCACCAATTGTAAATTATCTCTGTCTGGAAAGCACATTTTTACAGCGAACACATAGTATTAAATGAACAAGACGTCTGCTTTACTGACTGAGAAGAGATCTTCCAGTTCATTGTAAACTAACTCAAGTGAACTGACACACCTGTTTGGTTTGGTTTTTTTTTTTACTTTCAAGGGCAGGCAGCTTTGAAACTTTCAAACAGAAAAATGACAACTGTTTTATAAATACCGTTTATACCATTGTATCATTAAACAATTAAAACACTAATATGTGACAGAAATAATGAGAACATTATTCCAGATTCGGTCAAGAATGGGATCCAGATACTTACTCTTTTATGACATTAGTTCCAAACTTTCCCAACTTAATGATCATTCCCTACTCTACAAAAAGCATAAAGTTCCATTTTTGTTCTCTTTGCACATGTTTCCATTGCAGAAAAGATCACTAAGTTCATAGAATCATAGAGTGGTTTGGATTGGAAGGGACCTTTAAAGGTCATCTAGCCCAAACCCCCTGCAGTGAGCAGGGACATCTTCAGCTACAGCAGGTTGCTCAGAGCCCCATCCAACCTGACCTGGAATGTTTCCAGGGATGAGGCATCTAGCAACCCCTCTCTGGACAGCTTGTTCCAGTGTTTCACCACCCTCATAGTAAAAAATGTCTTGTAAATAGTTTAAATCTACCTTCTTTTAGTTTAAAAGCATTACCCCTCATCCTATTGCATCAGGCTCTGCTAAACAAGTTTGTTTCCATCTTTCTTATGAGCCGCCTTTAAGTATTGTAGGGCTGTAACAAGGTGTCCCTAGAGCCTTCTGTTCTCCAGGCTAGACAACCCCAGCTCTCTGAGCCTGTCTTTATGGCAGAAGTGCTCCAGCCCTTGGATCATCTTCATGGCCCTCCTCTGGACTTACTCAAGAGCTCCACATCCTCCCTGTGCCAAGGAGCCCAGAATTGGACAAAGTACTCCAGGTGGGGGTCTCACCAGAGCAGGGTAGAGATGGGGAATCACCTCCCTCTACCTGATGGCCATACTTCTTGTGATGCACCCAGAATATGGTTTTCACAAAGGGTTGATTTAAGATATGTCAGCAACATGTTAACATTTTAAATGCCTAGTAT